CCTTTAGTCATCCCTCAAAACTCTACTTCAGCACTTAATAATGCTACAACCTTTTGTTTTTTACTTTTCCATGTATCCAAATTTCCTCCAACAAAGGTAAAATAGCCTGAGGTGAATTTTTTGTTGGTGATATCTCCTGCCCAGTCAATGTTTGTATAACCTTCAACTTGTACATGATTATTCTTTGTGAACATCAAGCCTTTTTTAGGCGAGGACTTCAAGTACCGCATGATTCGAATTACTGCGTCCATGTGATCTTTACTCGGATTGTGCATAAATTGACTTACTACACTTACCGTATATGCTATATCAGGTCGTGTACGAGATAAGTAAATAAGTTTGCCAACCAATATCTGATACCTTCCTTTGTTTGTTGGCACTTGTTCTAGATATTCTCCAAGTTGGTGGTTCTGGAAAATTGAAGTGTCTACAGGTTTACAGTCTAGTAGTCCAAATTCTAATAAAAGATCTAGGATATATTTTCGTTGAGATAAAAAAATGCCTTTCTTCGACCTAGAAACTTCAATACCTAGAATAATAGTAATATAAATTTAATTTAAGTTGCTAGATATTGAAGTTGCTAGGTCGAAGAAAGGCATTTTTTATTAAAAAAATGTCTTTCTTCTATCTAGGATATATAAATTTGAAATGAGTTATTTAATTATAAAATGAATAATAGTAATATAAATTTAATTTAAATATTTAAAAATAAAAATTTTGTGTCTCAAATAAAAATAATTGTTAATTAATATAAAATAGGTATTTTGTTGATAGCGGCAAGTGAGAAAAATAAAATTTTTGACATTTGAAAATAAGAATTTCGTGTCTCAAATAAAGATGATTTTTAATTAAAATAAAATAGTATTTTGTTGATAGTGTCCCGTGTTAGAAATTTAGGGTGTGATAATCCTGGATAACTTCGATGAATCGTGTTCGTACACTTTCCGAACAAAGTATTTCGACCCTATTCTTGTCTGGGTTCACGAAATCTTTGTGGGGATAATTCTCGAAGAAATTCTGTTTCCGACAAAAGAAACGAATTGTAATTATAGAGAGAAGGATGCGTTTTTCTGTGTGCGAGACCGAGGCCGAACGACTCCTTATATAGGAGAACAGTAATTGAAACGAAGAGACACATTTGTTCGAAACGAATATGTCCGTTGGGAAACAGTTATGTCCGTTGGGAAACTGTTATGTCCGTTGGGGAACAGTTATGTCCGTTGGGGAAAGGATTCAAAATTTTTGCACGGGGCGCTGCCCCGCACCCCGCCCGGGGCTTCGCCCCTTGGAACCCCAACGGGGCGCTGCCCCGCACCCCGCCAGGGGCTTCGCCCCTTGGAACCCCGTTTCAATTATTCGTATTTAATTATGCATTGGCTCGACGAGCGTGCACTCCGCACTTCCCTAACTCGTCTCCGAACTTAACGCATAATTGCATCGGCCTTTAGAAATCACATTACTACTAAAATACATTGGTGATACAAAATCGCCAACAGTGAGAAAAATAAAAATTTTGACAATTGAAAATAAGAATTTTATCTTTCAAATAAATATAATGTTAGTTAAAATAAAATGTGCATTTTGCTGATAGTGGCTCATGAGAAAAATAGAACTTTTCACATTTGAAAATAAAAATTTTGTGTTTTAAATAAAAACAATTGTTAATTAAAATAAAATAGGTATTTTACTGATAGTGGCTTGTAAGAAAAGTAAAAATTTTGATATTTAAAAATAATTTTTTTTAATAATTATGAATAAATTTTTAGTAATCATAAAGTAATTATGTTTTTGGTCGAGTAAATTTTTTCGTGTTTTTCTTAGTTTCATTAAAAAAGATTCTATTTATTTATTTATTTATGTTTAGAAAAATAAAAAGGAAAAGAGAAAATTAAAATGAAAGTGAAAGGGAGAGAGAAAGGCAAGAGAGAGAAAAGTAAGTAGAAGTTAAATGAAAAATAATTATGAAGGGAGAAATGATATAAGATAGGAATTGGAAAAAAGGAAAATAATAATTTGAATATGAATTTCAAAATTTAAAAAGAGATAAAAAATAAGGAAATATGTTGCCACATGACACGTCATGATTGTGTATGCAATGTGATTAAAATATTCATTATGTTATTATATAAATGTTCTTCTGTGAGTGTAAAAAATTTGATAAAGAAGGACAATTTAGGGAAAGTGGTAGCATATTCTATTAATGGCTAAATAGTTGATTAATGGCTAGATAGTTGATAATTGATTGATTGATGATTTATATATTTATTTATGTTTAGAAAAATAAAAAGGAAAAAAAAATGAAGAGAGAAAAAATTAAAATAAAAGTGAAAATACTGTAGAGAGAAAGGCAAGAGAGAGAAAGGTAAGTAGAAGTGAAATGAAAAGTAAATGTGAAGAGAGAAGTAAGATAACATAGAAATTGAAAAAATATAAAATAATAATTTTAATTTTAATTTTAAAATTTGGAAAGAGACAAAAAAAAAAAAAAAAAAGAGAAATGTGTTGTCACATGACACCTCGTGATTGTGTATGCAATGTGATTAAAATGATCATTATATTATTACATAAATGTCCTTTTGTGATTGTAAACAATTTAACAAAAAAAGGACAATTTAGGGAAAGTAGTAGCATCTTTTATTAATGGCTAGATAGTTGATTGATTGATAATATTTAAAGGCTTAAATAGTTATTTGGTCCTTATAAGTTTGACCGTTTTTTAATTTTGTCCTTGTATCTTTTTTTCTTAGAAATGATCTCTAAATATTAAGATTTTTTTTGTCTTGGTCCCTAAAGTTAAAATCCGTAGAAAAATTCGCAGGAAATCTGTAAATTTTTCTAAAGATTTTAGTTTTAGAGACTAAAATCAAATGAAATTCAACATTTAAGGATTTTATCCAAGAAAAAAAAGATATAAAGACGAAAATAAAAAAATACACCAATTTACAAAGAAAAATTATTTAAATTATTTTTATTTTTATTTTTATTTTAATATTTATAATTTCAACTCTGCGAAAATATTTATTTATTTAAAATAACATATGAATAAATATATTTTAAATACGATAAAATTAAATTTCATAATTAGGAAATATTCAAATATTATAAATTTATTTTAAAATATTCATATATATTTAAAATAAATTTAAAATATTCATATATATTTAAAATATTATAAACTCATTTTAAAATATTTATATATATTTAAAATATTCATCTATATCCTTTTTTGAGTATCTAACATATTTTCTAACATAAATCAAAAATAAAAATTAATATAAAATCAAATGCTAATATGATATTGAAAATAATAATAAATTAACATAAAAAGTCACTTGACCATCTACATTAGTAAAAAAAAAAAGCATCACGTCAGTTTTTTGATGACTAAATATGATAAAAAAATAAAATAAAAGAATCTTCAAATATTAAAGAAATTTATCAAATTTGTTTTTTACAAGAAATTTTTGAAAAAATATCTGTGTAGCATGATGGGGAATATGTGTTAACCCTAAAATCTTTATCAATGTTACAAGATTTAACTTTGACGTCGTACGTAATCACAAAACCCCTAACAATCAAACTAATTTCAGCCCCATGAAGAGCCCATAATGTGAAATCCCATGCTATAATTTTTTGGAAAATTTTTTCTCATCTTTATAAGTTTTTTCCAATCCCTAGCGACAAGATAAAAATATCTCTAATTTTTGGGATGCATATCTGAATTCACCGTTTTCCACAAAATAAGCGTAAATAGGTGAGAGTGTCTCAATTTGTCAAAATTTAATTCGAAGATGCATCTCCATATATGTTTTAGGGTTTGTCCGTATATGCATATCTGGATTAACCCTAATTCTCAAATTCAGGTGTTTTTTTTAGATACATCTTCAAACGCGTTTAATTAATACTCCCTCTATTATTATAAGCAAAAATTATTTTTTTAGGTTCATTGAATAATGAATATATCCGATCTTTTATATAGACCATATACATTTATTACTCAATGAACCTAAAAAGAGAATCATTGCTTATAATAATGGCCGAAGAGAGTATATAATGTGCGCGACAGTCAAGACACCCTCTCTCTTCTCCTTCATTGTCTAAAACTTTTGAGATACTCATTGGAGCTCGTGAGCAACATTCTTGCATTCCATTTTTGAAGGATCAGCACTACCTCTACTTTAAACTTTCTAATTCCAACTCACTTCACTTACTACATTCAACATTTTTCATCCTCAACACCTTTTTAAACAAGTTTTTTTTCATTCTCATTCAACTTTTTGAGTTTTGATTAAGTAAAATAGATTGTTTTAAATGCATTAGGTAGTAGTTACATCCAAAATAGGTAGCTATTAGAAACATGCATTTTTATTTGGTTGCATCATCTTGGGTTGTTAGGGCAAGACTAGTCTCCATTTCTGCCATTGTTAGTTGGATTAAAATGACTTAATACAAATTTAAGACAAGGTTTCTACCTAAGATGTATGTAGGGAAATGTTTAAAGATGCATATCCGAAACAAAATTGTTTAAATAGCTTAAAATATACTCAGTGGTATTTTCAAAGATGCATCTCCAAATACACCTCATAAAATTTTCGCAAATGCATCTCCGTACCATTTTTGACAAAAGAAATGAATTGCTTTATTTACAAAGGATGATATGATTTAAGGTGCGTTCGAAAATGTATCTCTAAAAACACCTGATGGCGGTTTTGGATTTTCAGATTTGTAAGCCACACCTAATGGTGTATATGCAAATTTAATGAGATGTATATATTTTAACATAAGTGATTTATATTTGAGTTCAATCCTATGTCCTTTTAATTAAAATGATAGAGCTGAAAACTGCTGACAAAGTCAGTCACATCTGGCATGTGTCAATCCTATGTCTACTCCAATAAAAATCAACAACAAAAAATCCAAGTTGACTATCATTTGGGATGGAGTTAGCTTCTAGTTTGTCAAAATACAGAAGCTACTGGAGAATTGCTGCACTGGAATGACTACAAATCAAATACAGAATCAGCAAAACTATACAAATCAGAGCCTCCGCCGCGACTAGGAGCACCTATAGAATGATGGTCCAGCAAACCTGGATAACCTTCAGCAGATACTCTCCCATACAAATGATCTGCTTGCGCTGATGAAGGTTGTCCTGCAAAACTCTGCTCGACTGACCTATTGTAAGATAATACCCCTTCATCTATACTATGCAATCTACTATACAGAGAGCTGTTGATATTCCGCGTTGCCCCAACATTGTCAATTGACACTCCCCTTCCAATATAACCTTCTGGCAACGACCCTGAAACAGATCCAATTTGTGCAGATGCTGCAATGGAATAAGGATTTGGGTAGCCATAGGATCTACCCTCCAGATAATGTGCGGTTAATGAATTATCATATGAGCTATTACCATCAATAAGACTAGCAATCCTTTGCCCTTGCAAGGTAGTGACCGAAGGCGATGCTACAAAAGGATCTCTCACATTGTACCTTGTTCGTTTTGTGTCTGGGCCTTTCACTTTCATTGAAGTACTGCTTTTATCCAATTTTCTCTTGGGCCCTGAATTGTCTTCAACTTTTTTAGCGACATCACTAATATCTTTCTCCAGTTGGAGAATTGTATCCTTAAGTTTCCACTCTGGAAGAAGTTTTGCAATGTCAACCTTGAAACCTTCCAAACAGTTTACGGATTTCAAAGCAGTCAAGTATTTTTCATTTGTTTTCTTCTGTCAAAGATCAAATATATAAAAAATATCAACAACCTTAATGAAGCATAACCAACCAACAAACAACCATTATTCCACTAAGTGGAATCCGCTAATGAAACATAACAAATAAACAATTTTAGCTACTCAATTAGAACATACCAGCAAACTAGGATCATCGCGTGCTTCTTTTGCTTTCTTCCAAGCTTCATTAGACTTTTGCAGAAATGAAGTTAGTGCTGTCTGGGGAGAAAATTTCTCTTCAAACCCAAAGGTATAAGCCAATTCAATAGCTTCAACAACCTTGCCCCTTTTCATCATTCCCTCTGCAATATCTGTAGCCAAAATAAATAATCAGCAAGATTGAGAAAAAGTAATGTTTCAAAATATGAGAAAGCAACAGGAATTCAAACAAAACATTGTGTGTGATAGGATCCCCTAGAATAAATAGCAATGAGTCAGATGTTTGCCAGTTCAGTTAGTAACAGTTAGAATCTATCTAGGGGAGGGTAGTCAGGTTCAAGAGTTTGAATAACACAAGGAAAGCATTCCAAAACTTTGATTTGTGAACTGAGCAAATGATCATATGTGAAAGGGAAATTTTTGGTGGAGTTTTTTTTCTTTGGCCCTTTGTTTTTAATTCAACAAACACTACCAAAGCCTTTTTTCATTCCTTTATCTAAACCCCTATCTTAGTCTGAAAACTCCCAAGTCAGAATCTGTTTCCCAGGTTCCTTACGGTGTGCCCAATTGAGGAGAGATAATATTATTATTGGGAGGGATAAAATAAGAGTGGATTGAAAAACTCTATTAATTTTTTTTTTTGAATGTGGATATGTAAAGGGTGGAGGGCAATTATTTTTCAATTCAATTTTAAGCAAAATTTTTGTTGTACCAGTCAAGTGTCAACATTGACTTTAAACAAATGGTTGCGCGAGTCTGACAAATGGTTAGTAGGGTGTGTAATTTGTAGCCAAAATTCGCACAAGAGCAGAGATAACTAGTGTAAGTACCACGTCGTCATGCACGAAAATGAACAACAATATGCTTAAGACAAGAAAGGCAAAATATGGTAAAGGCATCAGCAAGAACTACACTAGCTAAATCTGAAGGACACGAATCAAAAGAAAGAATGTGTTCAGCCAACAACGGTAAAATTTTCGTTTCAGATACTGAATACACTCTAAAACCCGCCGTAAACTGCATAAGCATGCAATTGCTTCATATATATAAAATTGAAATGCCTAGGGTATTGTGTGGTCAATCACTCGCCAAATGGTTGAAGCAGCACATCCTTAAAAAGTTCATTGAAATAGATTATTGGAAGATATAGTGTCTTAAAGACTGATTCATGATACAAAGCTACAAGTGACTATATATTAACTTTGAAAGGGAAAATGAGATGCCCGTGTCTGTTTTAGATTAAATTATCATAATATAACTACGTAAACCAGTCTAGAACAATACAACAGTATGTTATACATAAGGGATCTGCATCAATTGATCCTTAAATAAATGGTAACAAAAGAGTTGTGACAAATGGTTGGTAAGGAGTGTAATTTATAGCCAAAACTTGGACTGACTGAGATAACAAGTGGGGCATTCATATCAAGGAGGCCTCCTATCATATCATATATGTAACAATCAAAGAGACATCAGCATCATTCAAAATTGAATAATAGTTACTTCGTAAGTTGCATTGCAATTAGAGTCTCATTCCGTATGAGATAATTATTAAAACTCGAAGAAGCCAACAATATGGATTCCATCTTATATAAGATGCCTGCTAAAGTCTCTCCAGGAAAGAGTTTGTTCTCAGTGTTCTGGCATTTGCTTATATGAATGACTTTGCTTCTTTTGCTGATCACAAATTTCAAATTTTAACAGTAATGAAAGTGTAAGGTAAAACTAACAAGCATAACATAACCACGAGTATTATTATTATTATATCTCAAATTCTAAAATGCAGTACATACATACCCGAAACTCTGCCAACAAGTTTCTTAGAATTACGAAGAGCATGCGAGATTTCCCAAGGTTTGCTCAATCGAACCAAATTTGCAATATCCTCATTCCTAAAAATACCAGGAATCCCAAAACACGCAAGGAAAAGAATCAAACCCCTTGCATCCATTTCACCGGCAGCACCCACACCACCTTCAACAATGAGTCTCTTCCTCCATGCAACCGCTGCAGCTTCAGCTTCTTCCTTCAGTGAACGTTCCATTTGTGCTTCACTTACAACACAACCAGATATCAGATAGTATTCCAAAACCAAAACCGAAGCTCGCCTTGCCGTAATCATCGGCGAGTTTACAGTATAAGCTTTGCTTCCCTGAAGGTAAAATCTTCCAATACATTCAAACACCAATTTCGCCGGGTTCTGCGCGACTTTCAGAGCCGCAGGGATTTGTTCCTTGAGCAACGCCGTTTCAGAGAGATGCGTGAGAATATACCTACGCAAACCACGGTTATTCATAGTTTTGCAAAGCAAGACAAACTCATCACCTTCTTCCTTTTCTTCCTTTTTTTCCTCTTCTTTTGCTTTTTCCTCTTCTGGCTCTTCTTCTGGATCTTCTTCTGATTGTTGTTGTTCGGCTCCTTTGTCATCGGTCTTTGATTCCAATTTCGATTCCGATTGAACAATGACTGCTTCTGCGGCGGCGGTAGCGCCTAGGGCTTCGAGTTCACTGATCCTTGTGGAGATGGCTTGGTCGATGAAATCAAGATGCTTTTGCAGTTCGTCATATCTGTTTTTGAAAGCTTGTATGAAAATCGACAATTCGTTGAGTTTGTTCACGGATTGCGCTATTTTGGCGCCGGCGTCGGGTTGGTTTTCCGGCGGAATTTGAATGTCGGAGACATTGGAGTTTGTAATTTCCATAGTGATACACTCTAATCTAATCTTGTGCGGCTGTTGATAACGAAATTTGAATGAAATGGAACCCTAAGAATTGAGTTGAAGAGAGAAATACATGTCGTCACACTCTACTCGGCGGCAGCACCAACACGATTACCATCAAAACGACTCCCTCATATTGTTAAAACGGAAATGTAAGGAAGGGTTAACTGTTTTGGGCCCATCGGAGAATCGACTCCCAATATCTTGATTTTTCTGTTATGCATTTATTTTTCTTAATTCTATAAAAAAAAAAAATAGGAAAGAAAAGCTAGATTCTTGCGACTCGCATTTGAAGAATAGTCGTGTATTGTTGAGAGATCATTTTTTCGAGATCGAGATCATGTATCTTTGATTCGATAAAATATATATTGCTCTAATTCATGTTGATGTACATGTACATGATCCACATCCTACAATCGGATGTTGTCGCACCTGCTAGTTTTTCGAGAGGCCTCTAAGACACTTCATTACTTTCTTTATATGTAGATCATGTTGGAGTTCGCGTGTGAAAGGAAGAGGTAACATAAATATTTTATTATTATTTTAAATATTTGTTTTATACTAATTGAATGATCTGACACTGATGTAATTATTTTTGTAGCACCATAACACATTGAAACGTATAAAATATGATAGGAAGATATCAAAACTTCCACAACCAGATGAGCCTTGGTTTTCAAATGTATTGGAGTTGTCTAGGATAAAGGACTTCATAGGACTGAATATGGTTGTAGCGATCATGGCCTATTATCAGCATTTGTTGAGAGATGGCACACAAAGCCATCGTCATTGCATCATCCGATCTTAGGACGATTGTTGGATCACTCCAGAATTACTAGACCACGTGTCCTCGACCTGATGGTGACATAATTAAAGGCTAATACAGATAAAGCCCAAGAAGAGATAGAAAACACCAAGGGGTGTCATGCCAGATTCTCATTCTTAACGCAAAATTATATTAACCACTTTAATATGGTTGTGGATACTACAGGTGATGAAGCACATATTACCTTTCATAAAGTATGTGCATTGAGGACATACTTCGTAATCTTGATTGATATTGGCCTTTTGTGGGTAAAATGTGACTTATGTCGGCGTTGTCTATATTAAATGCTTCACGAATTTGGAAAGGATTCACGAGTACAATTATGGGCATCTTGTTTGCTTTACCTCTACTCCAAGTTAGTTAAAGATGAATTTATGGAAGACTAGACGGATGACATGAATCAACTATTTATTTCATGTAATTTACTTACACTCTTACTGATAATTATTTCATAATACTTGCGCTACAGACTTACTGATATTTTATTTGACATTGTTAAGCATGAATCCTCTAGCCTTTTCAATTATCATCGTTTGGGAGTGTGTTGACAACTACTTAGAGGATTTTCCACGTGTGTGCTTGATTATTTCATGCAGGGGTAATCCAACGGTTGAGTTGTACACGTCTGCTATTGACTGCAATCTGGAGGATGATATATGTTTCACGCCATACAAGGAGCACTGCCAGACACAACTATTGTAGGCTATATCCTGGTACTCTAGATGGTTGGCTTACGGGTCTCGAATTATGTACCCACATCTATCTGAGTGAGTATTGTGGTAGTTTGGGTATTTGAAGGGTATACCTAAGGACCCCACATATGTTGCTCATGCCACTGTCCTCCATGAAGATGCTGATGTGATATTTGTGAACTTTGATTAACATCTTGTGCCAGAGGATGTACTCAGTGTGCCAACTCCTCGTCCATGGAGTATAGCATACATCTACATCCAATTGTTTTATAGAGTGTCTGATCCTTACAAAATACCATATCCAGAACAAGACCCCCTATGCTAGCTCATCAACAATTACCAAAAGAGGAATGGGTTAGGGCAGATCATGTTGTGGATGTTCTCCCGATATATCTTATATTGTTGCCATTGGGAGATAGGTCATAGCTAGAAGAGATTTTTAGAAAGGCACTCCTAAGAAGATCATTATACGAACAATCTTAGTAGAGACAAGACATGCATTACAATATAGGAGGTAGAAGAGGAACAAGAGGGGTTAGATATACACAATAGTAGTTACATATTTTTTTTGTATTTTGTAAGTAATTTGAAATTTTGCATGGTTAATTGTATTTTATGAAAAAGGCTTTCCTATGGTTTCTGCACAAATTTATGAAATTGATATCCTAACTTATGTGTATGGTATATCGTGTGAATAATGAATGTACTTCAAATGATATGAAAATTTCTTCCTAAGTAGTCAAGAGGTTCATAATTATATCTAGGGGTGTATACAAATTTTGAAATCTAGACCCTCTCCATGGGCCTGAAATGAAGATTTAAGCAATGCGTAAAATAATGTTTAAAGGTGTTTCTAGATTTTGAAATCCTGAGTCACCCTCATGCTTAGAACACTCAACCAAAATATACAAAAAATATTGTTCAATGGGTCCAAAGATTAAAATATGGACTCATTTTTAACATGGATGAAGATGTCTTTCTGTTGGAGAGAATTGTTGTACAAATGGTGCGTCTGAATTTCAAAATTCGGACGGTGCGAGAGGCATATTTGGATTTCCATAGGGTTGGTGATCACTACATGGGATGTAGTGAACACTGCCCTAAAAAACATTTTTATTTTCACTTTTTATTAAGAAAAGATAGACAAAAACAATAAATGAACCATAATGGAAATGAGCGGAGTGCAATAAAATGGAATAGAACGGAGTGGAATGAAGATTTCATTTCATCATTTGAAAATTTTAGAACGGAATAAGACAAGTCCTTCATTCCATCCAAATTAGATGGAAAAACTATGGTGATAAGTGATGGGATGAAATGAAATACACACCACGTCATTCTGATCCACTTCATCTGATTTTAAATGATCTAAATAATAGAACATACCTTTATTCTATCTCATATGACATACTCCATTTGATTCCATCAATCCAAACAAAGCCTTAAAATTATTTCTACCCCATAACTTCATTGAATTAAGGATATGTTTGGATTGGTGATGCGGGATGTAATAGAATAAAGTGGAGTGGTAAATAATGAGATCTATTATTTGGATTAATAAATAATAGTTTGGAGTGGAATGGAACATGGTGGAATTCTTTCCATCTCATTCCATACAACCTTCATTTTTTGTTTCATCTGATATTGGACTAATACAATGGGATGAAGTATTATCAATAAATATCCAAACAATAAAGTGAGATTGATACTCCATTCTGTTCCATTCCATTCTATTATGTTATGTTCTATTCAACTCTGTTATATTCTATCAATCCAAACATTACTTAAGGGTATGTTTGAATCGGCGGTGTGTGATAAAATAGAATAAAGTGGAGTGATAAGTAATCATATTCCATTTTTTCAATTTGAAAATAATGGATAAAATGGAATGGAAATGATGAAATTTATTCCATTTTATTCCATTGAACCGTTCATTCTACCCAATTTGAGGTGTATGTAACGAAATGCATTAATTAATTATGTTTTGTTTCGTTAAATTAACAAAAATATTCATACAATAGAATGAAATATGTGATTTATTTGGCTCAGTTCCATTTAATTCCATTAAATTCTATTTTGCTCCATTCTATTTTAGTCCTTCAATTCAAATATAGTTCAAAATTGGAGCAGAAATATGGAGTCATTTCATAAAGAGTTCAATTGCCTTTAATAAACCGTTGGCTTAGTCTAAATTTATAAATATTTATATAATTACTAATAAATAGTTTTAAAGAATGTGTGATTTGATTCCAGTAATTAGTTTTTAAATCTTCAATTTTATTCAATTTAAAGTTTAAACTTTATCATTATGAGTATTTCATAACAACCAACAACTGATGGAAAACAAGAGTCGAAGATGACACATCATTTAGTTGAGATTATGTGTTAACAAACTTATTTATATGGTATCACAAAGAAAATCCACTAAGGATATAACATTTGTTTACGATATGATTTTACTTTTTTTTACTGTTTCTTGAAGTTTTCAAACTTTTGAAATTTTTGTCATTATTCTTGATTTAATTTATTTCTCTTTGATTTTTACTAGCTAGGTTAGGTAAAAGACCAACTCGTAATTGTTTTTCTGGTTGAATAATCGTGTAATACACTTTGGAAAACACAAATAAGGTGATATAAAAGTAAAATTTGAGATCTAACAATGATATAATTTTTAATAAGGTTGTGAAAGGAGGTATATATGAGCATATGGAAACGCTTGAGATTCCACCATAAGAGATCGTTAATCCCTTCTTTCAACCAAGTTGTCATATGCCTCTACATTCATGTTTACATTACTGGTGATAACATTAATCCATCAATACCCTTCGTTAACATAACAATTAGATTCGTAGAAGTTTTGAGGAGAAGGATTCCACTTTGTTTTGTTCTTTACTTGCATTTTGTTCTCACGATTTTTGAAAACATATGTAGCAATGCTCTTGTGATTATCCATTACCTTATAGTCAACGCAATGGCTAATGCCTTTGATAATGGTTTTTTGAATAAGTATGTCTTTATTTTCATGTACTTTTTTATTCCTAACTACCCAAATGCTATCAATTAATACTACAATGATGTAGACATTGTCTTTGTGAGTACAATTTAACAGGTAGATTAGTCCGTCCCTAAAACTTAATCTATGCAATTTTTTAATTTTTATTTTAATTTTCAGTTATAATCTTAAGCTGCAAACTTTTTGTTTGATTTGGTTGCAATGAAAATTTTCAAATTTTCTTAAGGTATGTTTGGGGGTTTGTTTTTGAAGGATTTTGGAGAGAAAAATTTTAGAAGATTGCGTCTATATCTTGAAATGTGTTATATATTTTTTTTAAAAATTAAAAAAAAAATGATTTTATATGATAATATAGTATATTTGTTTTTAAAATTTTTAAAAAATATCATTACCCATTTTAAGATATAGACACAACCCTCTAAAACATTTTCCTCTAAAAACAACCCGTAAA